GAGACTGCACAGGTCACACACCCATGTTGCGGGCCTTGTCTGCTGCCCAGTCCCATCCCTTGGGCAGTGCCAGCACTAAGAGCTGGACACAGTGCTCAGATCAAGCTGCAGGATGCAAGTGAACTCAGGTGTGAGCAGCAGGAGCCCAGGAAAGAATGCTGCAGCCAGAACTGGCTAAAGCAGACAAAGTGGGGATGAGAGTAAGGACTTTGTTTTGATGGGTGCCCAGATGATTTGGGCTTTTTCGAGGAACACTGAATCCCTAGCTTACAGAAGCACTCTCCTTCCAGCACTGCTAATAGGAAGCACTGCCTCTCTTGAAAACTTGTCTTAAGTTAGAATTGGCTCAGGGTCAAGGTCAGGGCTAAGATCTCAGATTGAATTTGGCAGTATTGGAAGGTGAAGACAGATGATGTAAGTTGCAGACTGATTTAATGCTGTTTCCTACAATGGTGAATGTACATACATGATTTATTTTTCTAAATACCATTTGCAAAATCTAGACATCTTGTGTGAAGTTAGAATATGATTCAAACTTTTTTCTTTGTTAAAATCAGGGACTCCTCAATCATGTGTTTCATCAACAACTACCACAAAAAGTTTATATACACTTCCAGTCATTCACTAATTCACTCAATGGATATTCACTGAACCACTATAGCACAGTTCTAGACACGAGAAAATTAGCAGAGGCACAGGACATATTTTTCACTGTAAATAGTGTATATTCTAGTGGAGTACAGAATCCAGTGAATTCCACTGGGTTTTGAAATATTGAATTTGAGTGTATGTTCTTAAGATCTTTTTTTGTACTTGAAACAAAGTAAAAAGAACTTTGAGAAACAAGTTGTTATCTTTTTTCTGTAAAGAGTAGAAACATTTAGTGCGTTTTAGAATACTAGGAAAAAAGTAGGTTCCTCGTGGGACAAGGAGTTTTTCCTTCACTTTATGGAATGATTAAAATCACCACAAACATAAAAGTGGTATGAGTGATACTACGTTTGTAAGAAATGTACATGTGCCATTAAAGGAGGGATGATTTTGTTACTCTTAACAGGGTTGGTATTTTTTATAATAATATTTAACCTCTGCCAAAAAATTTTTTTATATTCTGTGTACTGTATTTTTATGGCTTTGTTACAGCCAGTCATTAAAAAAATAATAGTATAACTATAATGTCTCTTCAAGGCAAAAAGAAAGACCTATTTTTTGAAACACTATTGAGTGTTGAAAACACATCTTGAAAGCTTTGTGGATTCAAAAACAGTGGTATCTACAACCTTCTATTTTGATACACCATAAAATCTTTGATTTCTCATGTTAGAACAGTGGACATTCCAAAGAGACTTTAAAATCTCTTTTTGGGAACATAATATGCTATAACCAAAAAAATGAGCGATAAGCATTTCTATTCTCACATGCTCTAGGAGCCTCTTTTACCTATCGCCAATCCTATCGCTGCCTTTACTTGGCAAGACTCAGTTCACCATCCAGTAACATCTCTTTTTTCTGTTTTCTGCTTTCAGATTATGTGTCAGTTAATTTCGAAAGCTATAATACACATATGCAAAAATGTTCCCTGCATTTTAACTGTTAGATATACTGATATGTTTAAACAAATTATGTGGTTATCATTTACTTTTAAAGTCTATTCACCAGTAATGCATTGAAGGTTTCCTATGTGCAAGAAATATGTCTAAAAAGTTGTAAGCTTCTTGAAGGCAAGGGTTCCAAAAATTTTCACTCAGTCAAGGATGGAGGCGCTGATTTTTACCACCCAGATTTGTTGTCGTTTATGAAAACAGGCATTGAAGCATCAAGCACCTGTTTGGCCCACCCAATACCTGCCTCTCAATACTGAGTTCAAAATCTGCCAGGGTCCTCCTTGTGAACCCATCTTCACTGCTTCACTTAGCCCAATAACCTGAGATTTCTACCTGAGTTCTCTTTTTCATGAATGAGATTTTTGTTTGGTGTCATTGTCTCTCTATAGACCTGTTCTCCCTTACAAGTTTCTTTGGTGGCTATTGTGACAAACTGAGATAAAGAAAAGGACACTTTAATAGGGCTTTAAGACAGAGGTGGTCTATGCAGTTTGGTCTGAGTGTAGCTTAAAATAACATGCCTTTCAAAATTAAAAGGGATTCTAGAATATTATATGCCATTTTCTATGCCAAGAACAGCAACAGTTTATTTGACTGAGCTGGCCTGAAGATTTGTAGCAGACAGTGACAACACTGAGCATTCTAAGGACTGCTAGCACATGGGGTTGTGTTCACCTGAGCACTGTTATGACTTCGGAGACGGAATAAATAACATTCCTTTGCACAGTGTTAATTAGCCCCCTTCCAGCACACAGACACACACACACACACACACACACACACACACACACACACACAGAGTCAGATCTTATTTCCAGGGTTTTGTTCATTTGAACCCTTTTCCTTGATTTTTAATACTTCTTTAACCAACGAATTTGCTTTGAATTATATACGTTTTTGGATTCAGGGACATGAGCTTTCCGAATTCTGTGTTTTGACTGCTACTTAGTTAATCTCCTACCCAAACAAAGCCTCTGGTATTTCATCTGTGTGATGGGAATAAATGCATTTGCCTTGTATGATTATTTTCTTTTGAAGTTTAAGTGAGAACGAGATGTTTTTTTAAAAATCCTGACATGCTTAATACATATTAATATTTCCCATCTTTACTTTTTTAATAGGTATGTTGTTAAGGTCTAATGAACTAACATGCTCTATAATGAGAAGTGAAGAACAGAATTTGAGTCAGACCTGGGTTCAGATCTTGGGTCTGCCACTTTATCAGCTGTGTGACCCTAGGGTATTACTTATTAAAATAGTATACTAATTTTTAAGGTGGGAATAATGGCTCCTACTTCATGGAGTTGTAAGGACAATGTGAAATGTGGAATGTAAACCACTCTGTATTAGCCTAGCTAGCATCTACCATACACTAATAAGCTATTACTGAAACACTCTATTCCAATTACTATCTGTGGTCTAACTTATATTCAGTGTCTCTTGAGATATCTTGCGCTAGATTGTAAGTTTGTGGAAGGTTAGGAGCCAGATTTGACTCCTTTTTGAACTTTGTAAAACCACACAGAATAGTGCCAAGAACATTACGCCAATGTTTGTTCAACTTCTGCCCAGTAGAATAAGTGCCAGAGATTTTTGGCCTCCCCACCTGTCAGCCACCACCCTCAGGATGATCAATGGGCGCAACAGGCTTGGGTAAACTGTTACTTGCAATGGAAGCTGAATCAGATTAATGGGTTCCAAGTATAATGCCTCGACAATTGTATTATAGGACTAGAACTCTGTGAAAGATTATGTATTTGCCTCACTTTTGTATAATATACATTAATTTATTCTGTACCTAGGTTATGTCTGCTGTGTTACTTTAAAAATTGTGTGTGTGTCTTCTCATGGGTATTGTGAAATATAGCCCACTACACAGATGCTCCTGACATGTACTGTTTGCAAATGACTTCATCGTGACTAGTCAGTTATAAGGAAAAAAGTAAAATAAAAAGAAGAGAGAGAGGGAATTGAATATATAAGTAAGTAAAAAAGAAGAGAAGGAGAATAATCAGGTTGAATAGATGGCGCCTTTGACCATGACTGTCCTGGCTCTGCTTTTCTGACTTTCATGTGTGGATCTACTTAGTATTATAGTTTTCATGTTGTAGTTTTGTTGTTTTAAAATATTGTCTTTGTAAAATCATTATAACTGTGATGTATTTAAAATACTCTTTGTTAATGCACTAAAATTAATTACTTGGAAGCAGGAGGGGTAATTAAAAAGTATGTACTTGTCAACCAGGAAAAATAATTTTAGAAATAAAATTTTTAATTTTAATTTTTTAGAAGTAAAAAAATGAAACATACTGAAAAACTGTCAGTGCTTTTCAAAATCTTACTTTTTTCTTCTTATGCAGGAAAATGTTTTGTATAATCTATCTTTTAAGGCACTGTCTCTGGGAGGTAGATCTTTATTCCTTATTGACAGGAAATATAGAACACAGAAAGTTGAATGGCTTATCTTAAAATGTCAGATAATATGGAACAGTCAGAACGGGATTTTAGGGTTTTAGGCTCCCCTGCCTAATGTATTATCTTGAGCTTTTTATGTGACCTTGTTTATGGAGAAATTGAAAAGCAAACGGATTTATGGTCTGATTGCTTGTATTGTTTTCAGACCATAAGAGACGCAGCTTCTGTTATTATATTTGTTTAACATTTCTCTGTAAGCCGTCAAGGCCTGTTTTATTGCCTTAGCTGAATCAAATATGATTTCTGTACCTTTTCATTTCTGTTTGAAGATAGAGCAAAAGTACCCATCACTGTAGTGTTTATTGAAATGAAAACTTGTGTATGATTGTATGATTGCCTAATAGATTTGAAATAAAGCCTGTCAAATTAAAAAAATACTTGGAAAGATCATATGTGGTTTTTTTCTTCCATGCATTTGTGGATTTGGGGGGTTGGGAGGGTAAGCAAAATTTTCTGTTTAGTCCAGTAGTGAAGAATTTATTTAAAAATGTGTAATTTCTTAATTGCTTTTTAAAAAATTTTATTGTTTACACTATTACAGATGTCTGCCTTCCCCTCCCTTCCCCCCTCTCTCTGGCCATCACCACGCTGTTGTCTGTGTCTATGGGTTATGTCATATGTGTCTATAATCTGGCTAATCCTTTCACCTTTTATTCAGTCCCTGCTTCCCTCTGACAGCTGTCAGTCTCTTCCATGTATCTGTGCCTCTGTTTCTATTTTGTTTATGAGTTAATTTTGTTCATTAGATTCCACATATTAGTGAGATCAGTTGCTCTTAAGTAATATATATGAGAAATACTTTTTGGATAAATACTATGTAAAGTTAGCAAGAAAGAGAGGTTATTTTCTTATGCTGTGTCCCCTGATTTCAACCTTCTTTTTCATCTTCCTGTTTTTATTTTTTTCTTAATTTAATTTTAGAGGATTGCTGAAGTATCAAACTAATTTAGATACCCACCCTCCTGGCTGCATCAATCTTAATAGAACCCGCAACCGGAGTATTGACTTACCCGAATATCTCTCAGAACATTTTCATGAATCTTTCCCTGGAGGATTTTCAAATCCAGATGAGGTTACCCGGAACACATCTGTGAAGATTTGTATGGAAGAGCCCAGATTCCAAGCTAATTTTCCACAGGTCAGATAATTTTATGTGTTTGATGATCTCTGCAAAATTGATATTCCCATAGAAACTAATCAACGTTGCTTTAAATACATGTTTTTGAAGGTAGTAAAGCAACCATTTTTACAGAATAGAACATTTTAGGATGTTTCAATGGCGAGTTACTACTTATTGTTCCATTATAGGCAGCTGACAGTTCAAGGGGAAAGACCTGTGACATTACAGAATATAACTGACCATATGATCTTTGCCTACTATGGCACTGGTTTTTCCCCAAGAGAGGTAACAAAGATATTCTCCCCGTCCGTTGAGAAAAATAGGTTGGATAATAAAAACAGTAGTGAAAGAGCTAATAATATTTATTGGAGTATAGTATAATTATCATAAAATATGTATAATATAAAAATAAATTGTGAAATTAACTTATTCACTGTTTATTATCTGCTAGGTAATGTGCTAATATGCAATGTGTGAATATTTTTTAATAGTCACAATAACTACTTGAAGCAATTTCTGTCATCCTCTGTTTTCTGATGAAGAAATTATTGCTTGAATACATAAAATACCCTGAGCAACTGTACCAAAGTAATATGTGGCAGAAGTAGAACACTAAAATAGATGTTGGAATAAGATGCTTGGTTTTAGAGAACTTCCCCAAAATACCCAGTGAGTAGTTTGATAAGAACCATAATTTTTCCTTGTGGGTATAGTAGGTGTACATGTGGAATTATACTCTGTGGTCTTTGTACCAACTAGAAGCAGGGGAAAGAGTGATGCAGAGTGTCTGTTTTAAGAAGGAGAAAGAGGAAATTAGAAAGAGTAAAAGCAGTCAGATACAAGGCGATAAAGGACACTAGACTTCAGGTGGTAAGCCCGTAACAGAGTATGCAGATGTCGTGTTATAAAGTTGCACACCTGAAAGCTATATAATATTATAATCAAATGCTGCCCCAGTCAATTTAATTTAAAAAAGAAGAAAGGGAAGTTGAAAGGTAGCGTTGTTGATGACTGGCATGAGTTTGATATCGTTGTGTATATTATCAATAATAACCCCTTAGATTTATATTAAGCTTTATAAATTTCCAAACTTTTCTGCTGTATGTTGGGCAGAGCAAGTATTGTGACTCCCATTTTACTTAGATGCAGCCTGATTCTCAAGGGTTAAGGGACCGTCCCAAAGTTGCAAAACTGCTGTCACATTGTAGAGCTTGTCCTGTGATTCTTACACACAGTGTCAAAGTAAATGTCAGGAAGAGCTATAATTTGTCTGCAGGGAAGGAGGAAGGTCTGCAATAATTGTGTAAGAAAGGTTTTAAAAAGAGACCATTAAAATATGTTTGGGCTGGAGGCCTCCGAGGGCCTTGGGAGGTAGGGTGTGCAGTTGGAGGAGAAGGTTGGCTGCACAGGCGTCCGCACTCCCAGGCTGTCAGGGCCATCGCTCCGGCACACACAGCATGGTTATGCTTTCCAGATTCTAAATATTCTCTTTTTATGTATTTGCATTCCATTTATTATGTAAATGTAAGTTATGCACAGCATGCCTAGTCTATACCATATTTTAAAATATGCATGGGCATGTATTCCACAGTTTGTATGTGTGTTCTAGGCATGTACACAAGGCATTAAAATACCTAGGGTTCTCTAACAAACATTGGACCGGTGCATGGTTGCTAAAAATCATCTTCAGATTTACTGGGGCTCTTAAGTTCCCTTTGATCTCTCTTTAGAGAAAAGTATTGCGTACATGCATTATGTATCCGTAATGCACAGAGGATGTATGAAACAGTATATGCATGATTAACTGTTAATGGGAGCTATGCCTGGGGCAGCGGTTTGAGAGGAGGGTCTTGATATCACTGTACTTTTTATTTTATACATTCCTGTTATTTGAATAAGTTACAGTGAAAATCTGTTATTTTCCTTTAGATTTTATTATTTAGAATGCAGATTACAATATTTTTAATGTGTCAAATAAACAAGTAGACAGGATCTAAAGAGTCCTACAATACAAGTATTTCTTAAAGTGCATTTTAAAAATTCTCTGTTAGACTTGGCTTTGGATTTCTGGACCTTTGTGCCTGTATTGTGCTGAAAGACTTTACAGGTGCATCCGGAGTAATAAGCCAGTCACCATCACCTCGGTCATAAGTCATCCCTCAGATGTCATGGAAATTCGAATGGTCAAAGAAAATTTTAAAGCCAGACCTGGCCAGGTGAGTCATTGTCCAGCAACTTTTAAAATACCCTTTATTCTCATGTAACATTTGAAAATTAACAAATTAGTGCTATCTTTGAAATATTTGAACTTCTTTCTTAGTCATTTAACAATTTTTTGTTGCTTTTTAGTACATTATTCTACATTGTCCCAGTGTGTCTGCATTAGAAAACCATCCATTTACCCTCACAATGGTAAGAGATTTGATTTTTAGATTTTTTTAGAATGAAATGCATGTCTTTCTTTGTTGAGTATATATTCCACCTCATTCTAAAAGTCATTCAAGGCTATCACAGTATCCGTAATATTTAAGTTAGCCATCTTTTTTACAAAGAAATATAATTATCTGTACAGAAGCCTTGTAACTGTTATTTATTATTTTCTACCATTTTAAGATTCCAAAACTAACTTATTTAAAATTTATTAAATCTTTATGATTCAAAATATAGAACTTTTCCTTGATATTTGCTCTTTTCCTTTTATGAAGTATGCACCAAAATATGCTATGTGCATGATTTTCTTTAAAGAGAGTGAACTCAAGGGAAAAGAGGGTACTCTGAGTTAAGGTGGACGCATAAGAAAATCCAGGCAGTGTTTAGATAAGAAAAAGTCCAGTATAGTTGGCACTCATGCTGTATATGGAGGAGAAAAAAGAAAATAAAGTCAGAAAAAGAAATGGAATAAGATAATGGAGGGGGGACACCCAGCTAAATAATGAAAAATCATCAAACAATTTTGCACATTGTTCACATTATTTTACGCATCATAAAAATGGCACAGCCGTTATAAAAAAGTAAACCATTTACAAGTAAATAAAACAAAATAGGAACTTTTCCTCATTTTCCCCTTTTCAGTTATTTTCTTTAGAATTTGACATACGTTATTCGAGACATTTTTCTATACAATTTGGCATACACAGGTGTTTGGTATGTTTGCTGAATCATTTGCTTTATAATTTTCTCCTTCACTCAACAATATATTATGGGCAGCTTTTCATGTTACTATATTTTTATATGTCTCATTTTTTAAATAACTGCATAATATTTTACAATTTATTTAATATTACCCATCGATCATAGGGATTAAGATTTTATTCAGTTTCAAACAAAGTTAGCTGTGAATAGGAACCACATGTTTAAATATATGCTTAATATATGCAAATAACATTAAAGAAATTATGGGGTGGGAGGTAGATAAGTAACTGGTTTTACCTCAGTGCTGAAGTGTAAGATTGAAGTTCACTAGAATTGGAACTGCTATCAAATTTGATGTGCCCTTGAGAACATGTACTTGTGAAGAGAGCTGGGCCAGAAGAATCTATATTTAAAGAATAAAATAAATAAAAAGGGAGTGTCAAATGATTAGAGAAAAAATAAAAGTTATTTGAATAGATAATTGCAGTTCTTTAAAGGAAAAAAAATTGCTTCATTGCTCCAGATTTAGCACTCTGTCTGTATGTAGTAAATTTATTTATTAATGACTAAGAAAACGGTATGGTAGTTCTGAGAGGGAAGGGGTATGAGGCGGTAATAAAGGGTAAAGGGGGTCAAAAATACAGTGATAGAAGATTGGACTTTGAGTGGTGGGCAAACAATGCAGTATACAGCTGATATATCATAGACATGTACACTTGAAACCTATATAACTCTATTAACCAGTGTCACTCAGTAAACTTAATTTGAAAAAAAGAAAATATAGTTTGGCATCTAGAGAAATAATAACATTCTATTATATCAAGATTTAAGTTCAGGAGTGAGTTGTATGGAAGCAAAGAAATTTGATGCTTGGAGTTCATGAGTTTTTCATTTTATCTGACCATCTGTGTGCCATGTACTGTGTATGGGTCTAGGAAATGGTTTGTAGCCTTCCCAGATAGTATGAGAATCAGCTCACTAATACTATCCCCCAAGGAAGTTTCTGTTTTTATACGAGGGGGAAAAAAGGCAAATCTTCCTGCTGTCTAGAAATACGTTTGAGTAGAGAAAACATTTTTAAGCTAAATTTTACATGGTGCTGTTTGATTAATTGACTATTGCTGATCTTAATCAGAGAGTCAAATGTTTGTCCAGGAAATTGGGTTTATTCGGGAACAACAAAGAACTGCAATTTGGGACATGTAGTCTAATGGCGAACCTCTCGCAACTCCAAAGAACAAAGGAGAATCTTTGTTTTATAGAGGAAAAGGAGAGTTCAGAAGGGTTGTTGTAAATAGAGTCCATTGGAGGGGACTGAATGTGTGAAGTGTAGTGGCTTTTCATTGGTTGAGTTGTAACAGTCTTTCATTGGCTGAGTGGTTGCTGGACAAGGAGAAGATCCTACTTCTTCACACAGGAGTAGGTAAGCAAAAAAATAGCTTCCTTTTGGAGATGGAAACTGTGTCTCTTCCTGTTGGGGTGATTCACTATGAGTGATGAGTGAGCGCTCCCCCTAACGGCCCTCACAATTCAAATTTAAATAAGGTTTTTGTTTATTAATCACACGAACTTTTCCTGCCTGTCCCTTCATTCTGTCTTTAGTTCTGTTTGATCATTACATGTAAAATGCATGTTTTTTAAACATTTTCACTGGCTAGTTCCCTTAAGGGTTCCTTTAAAAAATTGTTTATTCTATTACTGTTGTCCCAGTTTTTCCCTTTTGCCTTCCTCCTCCCAGCTCACCCTTCTCTCCCACATTTGATCCCCTTTCCATTGTCCTTGTCCATGAGTCATTCATAGATGTTCTTTGACTAATCCTTTCCACTTCCTTTCTCCATTTCCCACCTCCCTCCTCTCTTTCTATAACTATCTGTTCCATGTCTACATGTTGCTGGTTCTATTTTTCTCATTTGTTTTTTTTGTTAACCAGGTTCCAGTTATAACTGAGGTCATATGGTATTTGCCTTTCACCTACTGGCTTATTTCACTCTATAGTAGTCTCTAGTTCCATCCATGCTGTCATGCAAAAGGTAGGAATTCTTTCTTTCTGCTGCATAGTATTTTACTGTGTGAATGGACCATAGTTTTTTAAATCTACTCATCCTCTGAGGGACACGTGGGCTGTTTCCAGCATTTGAACACTTGTCTATTGTAAATAGCACTGCCATGAACATGGGGGTGCATGGGTTCTTTTGGATTGGTGTTTCAGAATTCTTAGGATATAATCCCAACAGTGGAATTGCTGGGTCAAAAGGCAGTTCTATTTTTAGTTTTCTGAGGACATTCCATACTGTTTTCCACAGTGGCTGCACCAGTCTGCATTCCCACCAACAGTGCTCTCAAGTTTCCTTTTCTCCACAGCCTCACTAGTACTTGCTTGTTGATTTATTAATGATAACCATTTTGGCAGGCATGAGGTGATATCTCATTGTGGTTTTAATTTGGGTATCTCTTATGGCTAGTGATGTTGAACATTTTTTCATGTGTCTGTGGGCCATCTCTATGTCCTCCTTGGAGAAGTGTCTATTCAGGTCCTTTGCCCTTTTTTTAATGGGGTATTTTCTTTTTGGTATTGAGTCTTATGAGTTCTTCATATATTTTGGAGATTAAACCCTTGTCCAGTGTATGATTGGCAAATATGTTCTCCCATATGGGTGGTTCCCTTTTCATTTTAATGATGGTTTCTTTCACCGTGCAGAAACTTTTTAATTTGCTGAAGTCCTATTTGTTTTTTTTTCCTTTTATTTACCTCACCCTAATATTGGCAAAAGTATTGCAACATGGGATGTCTGAAATTTTGGCGCCCATGTTTTCCTCTAGGACTTTTATGGTATCATGAGTTATATTTAAGTTCTTTATTCATTTTGAGTTTATTCTGGTATATGGTATAAGTTGGTGGTCTAGTTTCATTTTTTTGGATGTAACAGTCCACTTCCCCCAACACCGTTTATCGAAGAGACTGTCTTTACTCCATTGTATGATCGTGCCCCCTTTGTCAAATGTTAATTGACCATAGAGACATAGGTTTATTTCTGGGCTCTCTATTATGTTCCATTGATCTATGTGTCTGTTCTTATCCCAGTACCAGACTGCTTTGATTACAGTGGCCTTGTAGTATTGTTTGGTATCAGGTATAGTGATTCTTCCAACTTTGTTCTTGTTTCTCGGGATTGCTGTGGCTGTTCAGGGTCTTTTTTGGTTCCATATAAAATTTTGGAGTATTTTTTCTAGATCCATGAAATATATCATTGGTATTTTAACAGGGGTTGTATTGAATCTGTAGATTGCTTTGGGCAGTACAGACATTTTAATTATGTTAATTCTTCCAATCCATGGATACGGTATATAGTTCCATTTATTTGTATATTCCTAAATTTCTTTCTTCAGTATCCTAAAATTTCTCAGGTACAGGTCTTTTACATCCTTGGTTAAATTTATTCCTAAGTATTTTTTTTTCTTGTTGCTACAGTAAATGAGATTTTTTTCTTAGTTTCTCGGTCTGATAATTCATTGTTGATAAACAAAAGTGCCATCAATTTCTGAATATTGACTTTGTATCCTGCTACTTTACCTCCTTCACTTATTAGGTCAAGTAGTTTTTGGTGGAGACTATAGGGTTTTCTTATCATTCCCCCTATGTGGACATAATATGAAGCATTTATGACTTATTTCATATATCAGACAAGAACAGAGCTAAGGATTATAATTCTGTCGCAGCATTATAAAAATCATCCCTGCACTACTGTGGAGGGTTGAAATGCACCTGCACAAGGGTATGTGTTACTTAAAGTGTAGTAGGATTGCTGCTGCATTACCAGGTGTCTTCCCAGGCCCTGCTACAAAACTGGTGGTCCTAGTAGTTTTATTGAAATAAATCTTTTTTTTAAAATATAAAGCATTTGAAAAGAGAGATCAAAATGCCTCAGTAACCATATATCCAACTCAAACTATCTATTTAAATGTTATTAACTTTTCACTAATAACTCTTTATTTCATTCAAACTGAGCAATAAATCTCCCCTACTGAAATTTTTTTTGCTCAAATAATTCAAAGGAAAACACCCAGATGATTAGTAAATAAAAATGTAGGGTTTAGAACACCCTTTTAATTTATTTTAAAATATTTTTAAGATTTAAAAGTATTTAAACTTTATAATTCCTAGTAGGAAGACATTATCTGAAAGAATACTCTAATGGCAAAGTGCTGTGAAATGTTACAGCTGCATTTGGGGCAGCGGGGAGGGAATTCTCTTCAATGGCCCAGGCTTTCTTCATGAGAAG